AAACCAGCTTGCAGGCATAGTTTAATTGCTGTTTTGCTTATCCTCAAGTGAAATATCTTGCATGTCGGACGTGGAAAGAATGTTTTAATCGTCACAAGCTTATAAGATTGGAACATCGTTACCTTTTTTCTCACGAGCTTGGTAGGCTCCTCTCCCCCACTCGTAGGGAAAGCCTTTGATACATCAAAAAAAAAAAAAAAAAAAACTCTCGATTGTTGCCACCCACCCTCCACGCACAACAATCCGCCCCGTGCTCCCACACCCATTACACGCTCACATGCGCGGTCGGCTACGCGAATGCGTTACGTGGTGGTCCACATGGTGCAACAGCAGCTTCATAATTTCTGTTATCTGGCGTGGTTATCAGTTACCATGGGCAAGCACCGAGCCCGCACCTCGCCGTACACCTAACCACCCCGGTGCGACCCACTATAGCGACTTCACCACAGAGGCAATCGCCGAGCTCGTGGCCACCGGCGCGGCTCGTGTTCTCCCGTCTGGAACCAAGAATATATGTTCCAGTCCGCTGAACGTAGTCGTAGAACCGACCAAGAAGCGGCTCATGCTCGACTTGAGGCACGTAAACAGTTTTTTGCGAACGTCCAAATTTTGCTACGAAGGACTAAATCGCATTCCCGATCTCGTCCAGCAGGGTGATTGGTTATTCACAATCGACCTCAAATCCGTATACCACCACGTCGATATTCATCCTTGCCACTGGCATTTTCTTGGATTCTCTTTCCACGGCGTGGAATACCAGTTTTGTTTGGTCCCCTTTGACTCGTGACCGCACCCTTTGTATTCACTCAGCTAATCAAGCAGCTTGCCAAACGATGGAGAAGCAAAGGCATTCGAGTCGTTCCTTACGTCGACGATATCCTATTCATTAGTGTGAGCCATACCAGTGCGCTGCGTTCTCAAAGAGTCATTCTCGAAGACCTTCGACCCGCTGGCTTCCTTTTGAATACGACAAAATCCCAGCTCGAGCCAGTGCAGCGCCTCAAGTTTCTTGGCCTACTCTTGGACACCACGGACCTGTCTTTCTCGGTCGATCCAGAGCGACGTACTCGCCTTCTCGAAGAGATGCGTCAAACTTGCTTGGAGGGCACTAATAGACGTCTCGTCCCAGTTCGTTGCCTCGCGCACATCACCGACATGCTGACATCCGTGTCGCTCGCGCTCGGCACGGTGGGTGGTGCCAATCGCCCCATGCCACTATTTGGCATGTTGCGACGTGTTCCGTAGTAGCTACTATTCAACGCGTCAAACTGTTCGATCAAATCCGCGCGAAACTGCGCCCACGTCCCTTCGCCTTGGGCTATACAGTTGTTGATCCACTCTAGAGCTGGGCCTCGTAACAGTGTTGTTGTGAGCCGTATGCGCATTGCGTCTTGGTTGAGGGTCATGCATCCAACGGCTTCGAAGAACTTTTCTAGTACAGCTACAAATCGACGGACGTCGCTCCCTTTCTCGCTAGGATCTAACGCCTCTGGTTGCCTCGGCTTCATTGCTTTGAGACTAACTGTAGCTGCTGCAGTTGTCGTAGATAAAGTTGTCGGTGTCGTTGCCGTTGCTGCTGCTGCTTCTATGGCTACCGATTGGTTCGCAAGGAGTTTTTCAAGTCGTGGGAGCGCTGCACGTATCCGCTTATGCTCAGCACGTAACTCCGCGATTTTCTGTACTGAAATATCTCTGTTTCCCTCCATTTGGCGATTCAGAGGAAAATGCGTGACGAAAATGATCGAATTATAGGTGCTGGTCGACTTACTGCGAGTCGAGTTGACTGTAGAATCGACGAGCGCAAATTCTGTAAGTCGCATAAATCTCCCTTAGTCAAAATTCGCTTTCAATCTCGGCCTCGACCCGACGCTCCAATTCCAACCTTTTTGGGCGAAATTCTCTGGGCTGTTGAGATGAAACTCGATCGAACGGTCAAAACTCCAACCTTTTCACCAGTAAATCTAAGGATGTTCGAAAACCGAATCGAGGGGGACTTAGAAAATTTGTGCGGAACTGGTTTTACACACCCATATTGGCGCTTTCGGCATCCCCCCCCGCGGTTTTTAAAGGCCGGAACTAAGCAGTTGAAGACCTCGCGTGTAAACCTGCTTTGATTACCAAGTGTGAGGATCTGGTTCAGGAAAGATAAATCTATTGAATGAATCACCTGGGTACAAGGCGAGGCTATATATGGGCTCGACACAAAGGCAGTAACCCAGGTGTTATTAGAAGGTTCCGCGGGTCGCGAAGCGTCCCGAACGGGTCCTTCCCGAATTCGGTAGAAGGGAATTCAGTGGCAGCCGAAAAGCCTAGAATTCGATGCACTCAACCTAGTTCGGTGCCTACAACTATAATAACTATAGTAAAGGCAACGAACCTAGTAAATCAAGCAAAAGCATGCTAGATGAAATAAAGCTAAGCTAGTAATAACATAATGAACTCCAGGCAAGCTAGCAAAGCCAGCATAAGCCGTCGTACTCTCACACCCTTGGCACTCCCATCCTGCCACCAGCAAGTCCACCTTTCCCCAGTCTCTTACCACCTCTGGCGTAATCTCTCTCACATCATTCGTTGTCCTCCGCATTGCTCTGTCTATTGCCTTTGCTTCCAGCAGCTCAGGATTCTCCTTCTGCAGCTTTCGGTCATGGTGTTCTGCCATCTTCCTAGCCTTCTCATTCTTCTCTACATATACCCACTCTTTCACCACTATCCCTGCCTTCACTACTGCTCTTAGGCCTGCACCAATGCCTCCGAAGAGTTCTACCAGCCATATCGGTTCCTGCCATCCGCCTGCCACCGCTGCCTTGCCGATCAGCCCTGCTCTTCCCACGTCTTTTCTCCCTGCCTCGCCTACAGCGTATGCCCTCTTAGGTTCCTGTCTCACAAACTGCATCGGTAGCTCCCTCACCTCACTATTCTTTATCCAGTACTGCTTTCGGAACTGCACCCGCTCCTTCCATGTGCAGATGGTCATGCCCACGCTCCAAATCGGATCTGTCCCAAGCAGCACATCGAAGTCTTCCGACTCCGATATACCGCATGGCACTTGGAGACAAGTCTGCCCTTCCTGTCGTGGCAATAGTGTCACTTCTATGGGTGTTTTCGTGCAGGGTAACCACTTAGGCTCGCCTCCCTCTACTGTCATCACCAGCATTCCCTTCTTCACGCTCTATCTTGGCCCTGTCAGTACTAGCTTCTGTGCCATCCGCATACCCAGCATGACGCTCTGTGCTACAGTATCCAGTATGGTTGACTTGGCATTTTCTCCTCCCACCATCACTGCTCCTGGCTCCACCATTAGCACTGTGGCCTGACTTGCTAGTCTGTCTTTTGGGTGGCGGCTAGGCTCCTCTGTTCTGTCCCGCTGTTCCTCTCTGTCACTCACTGGCCGCCTCCTCTCTTTCATCATGCGTTCCTTACGTCCGTCCCTGCCCCCACTACGCAGGCCCAGGTCATCTCTACTGCGCAGCACCATGAACTGGCACTCTGGATCTGGCTCCTCTATCACCTCTGCCTTGTCATCGTCTTCCCTCACATACATCCCTGCTTCTTTCTCTGGCTTTCCACCCAGTGCCTACAGTTGCACCTGCAGCTTGCCGATTTGACCTTTTATATCCTCTGGCTTCCTTTGCTGTCCTCCCGAGCACTGATAACAGTCTTTGCCTTTATGCCCCCGCTTCCCGCACACCTCGCAGGTTGGTGCATATGGGCAATCCTTGCGTCGGTGTCCCGGCTTCCCGCAGGTGTCGCAATTCCTGCAATTCCTCATCAAGTGTCCCGGTTGCTTGCACCGGTGAAATGTGCGTGTCTCAGCGCCTATCTCCTACCGTCCTTCCTCCCTTCCTCCTGTCTCAGGCACCATTGCTGCTGCCCAAGCAGGATTCTTCCTCTCTATCACTCTTGGCAGGTACACCTTGTACTTCCTCTGTGCCAGCTCTACCCTTCCGCTAACTCGAACACTTCTTCTGGTGATGCATCCGCCCCTGCCCTGTCCCTGGTAATCTGCAGGCCACCAAGGTCAGTGCAAGTGTGTCTCTATTGCAGTTCCTCCTTCACGGAGGCCAGCACCCGTCGGTCGGGAGTGGTGAACACCAGGTCGTCGACGTAGACCAGGACAAAGAACGGAGTCGAGCCACGGCGGACAAATTGTGACGGGTCGGGAGACGACGGAAAGAAGTCAAGCGCTGCAAGGGTAGAGCGAAGTGTGTCGTGCCACTCACGTGGAGCCTGACGCAGGCCGTAGACTGGTCAATGCAGCTGCCACTGGGTCCCAGGTGGGAAAGAGCCAGTGAAGCCAGGCGGGCGACCCAACCAGATCTGCTTGTGCAGGCTCCCCTGAAGGACGATTAATGAACCTGGCAGAAGACGTGGCATGCACGGACAGCAGCATGATCATTAGTAAGTTTCTGAATGGGTTGGACAGGGACTGGCAGGAGGGTCCGTAGTAGGTTAGCAATGACTCATCGTCCGTACGCCTAAACTCCTGGAATTCTCGAATGCGCGCTGCAATATGCCCATGGAACTGCTTCCTTAGCCGCTCCAAGAACAGTACCGTCGGGTCTTCGTCATCCTCATCTGCCCTTCTCAGCCACTCACCCATCTTCATGTTTGGCAGGCTTAGGAAGAAGTCGATGGGATCCATGCCGCTGCGATCGCACCTGTACTTGACGTTTCTTATTTGCATAAGGTAATTATTAAGGCTTGGGCCTGTACCTTTGTTCCCCGTGAAGCGTACGGGCACCTCCACTCTTGGCTGTACTGTCGCGCTCCATCTCCCCATATCCCAGCTTCCAGAGCCTCCCTTGTCTATTTGAGCAGCCCCTCGCTGCTTCCCTCTTTCTCCTCTACTTCCCGTGCTAGTCCCATACAGCACTCGCTCTAGCCCTTCACGTGTCGCTCTCGCTCCGCTAGACCCTTCTCCGCGCTATCGTGACCTCCTTATTCCACTCGGGCTCGGACTCCTCCTCCGCTCTTCGTGATCTCCCCTGTGCCTTTCTCGATCACCCCATTGCCGCTCTCTCTTTGCGCAGGAGACCGCTCCTGGTGATGCCACTCTCACTCTCCTCGCTGCCGACCTCCTTTTCCTTCTGTTGAACCGTTCGGTGAACGCCTTCCCTTGTCCTTGTAGTGTCCTTCTTCGCCACGCCTTTCCTCCACTTGTGGCGTCCTCTCTGGTGCTGTCCCACGTCATCCAGCTCTTCTTGTCGCTTCTCCTGATCCAGCTGCTGATCTCCGCCCACCGCCATGCGTCGTCGGCGGTCATACCCTTGCCTTAGTTCAGGTGAGTGGAAGACACCCACCGGTGCCCCCTGACTTGTCCCGCCTCCTTGGTGCGCCTTTGATTGGCGCTCCACTCCTCTGCCGCTCCCTCGCTGTGCTCCTCCGCCCGGTCCTACAGGTGAGAGCTCTCCTTCCCTGTTTTCTTTGCCTTCCTCTCGTGCTTTTCCACGACGGATCTGCTCTTCCTCATCCCTCTCGTTGATCCCCTACTTCCCTTCTTCCCGCGCAGTGGGCGACCCTTCGTTGCCAGCGTGGCCGCGCTTACTGTTGCCCCGCATAGTGGGGATCCCTCGTTGCCGACGTCGCCGCGCCTTCCGCCATCCCACGCTGTGGGGGAATCTTCGTCGCCGGCGTTGCCATGCCTTCTGCCACACCGCATAGTGGGGGATCCCTCGTCGCCGACGTCGCTGCGCCTTCCGCCGCTCCGCGCAGTGGGGGAGTCTTCGTCGCCAGTGTTGCCGTGCCTTCCGCCGCCCCGCGCAGTGGGGGAATCTTTGTCGCTAGCGTTACCGTGCCTACTGCCGCCCCGCGCAATGGGGGATCCCTCGTCACCGACGTCGCCGCGCCTTCCGCCGCCCTGCGTAGTGGGGGAATCTTCGTCGCCAGTGTGGCCACGCTTTCCACTGCCTCGCTCAGCGGAGACTCCTTCATCGCCAGCAACGCCTCGGCTTCCGCGACTACGAGCAAGTGGGGGCTCTTCCCCTTCTTCTTCTTCTTCATCTTCGAGCTCGCCCGCCGATTCCATCTCCACGGCGCCATCGTGACGCCCTTCGTTCACTCCGTGCCAGCCTTCCGCCAGGTTCCACGGATTGCTCGTTGCGGGTCGCCTCCAAGGCTCCAATCTGGCGCGCAGATCCTCCCCGCTTCCCCCTCTTTGTACGCCCATTGGCGTCACCGGATCCGCGCGATACGCTGCCCTCCGTGGCGCCCTGCTACCCCCAATGTCACCAACCCTTTGCTTCTCCATATACCCAACTACCTCCCTTATAGGTTGAATAGCAATTGCTACAGCACTAGTACACCTCAATTAGCGTATGTCCAGAATATGATGCACTTTACCATTAGATTCGGTGACTCGTAGATCTCGGCCTCGCAGCTGGAACTAAGTACAAAAGACAAGCAAGTGGACCTCCACGAGACAGCAACAGCACCAAGGTTGCCCCGTGACGAACGAGAAGTCACCTGGTTGTCAGTCCACGTAGCACCTGAGTGCCCTATGAGCACAGCTAAACCCCATCCCCCAAGCACAAGCCTCAAGCCTAATGTACTGACCAAGTAGCGCAGCACCCTCTTAGCAGCTGACCAGTGCTCGAGTCGGTGCCTCCCGGGCGCAACGTAGCGAACCAGGATGCTGAGAGGGTATGCAAGGTCAGGCCGAGTGCATGTCATCAGGTACATGAGGTAACCCACAAGCTCTGAATACGGGCCACTAGGCTCTGAATACAGGCCACTAGGCTCTACGGACCCGTCCAAAGGTGAATCTAAGAGCATATGGCCTGTTTGCAAAGGAGTGGGCTGTGCCGAGGAGAACTGAAATTGGAAGCGCTGAAGGACCTCCTGCACCATGTGTGACCGAGTCTGAGTGATGGTGTGCGCTGCTCTATCCCAGGTAATCTGCAAGCCAAGATAGGTTTGCAGTTCACCCAGGTCAGTGCAGCTGTGTCTCTTCTGCAGCTCTGCCTTCACAACAGCCAGTGCCTCACTGTCAGCAATCGCAAAGACCAGTACATGAGGATGTATAACGGCGGCAAAGTAGGGTCAGTGTGCAGAAACAGGGACGGGTCAGCTGTCGAAAGAGTGAAGCCAGGAGCCGCAAGCGTCGTCCTTAGTGTGTCGTGTCAGTAGATCTGCACTGTGGATGCCCGATTGATCCTGGAGAGGGTTACAGGCGCATTCGCCTGGGGGGTTATGGGCGCACTGACCCGCTACTTAACAAGCCCTTTTATCCCAATGGTCTAGTGGTTGGGATTCTGACATGGTATCAGAGCGGTCTCGGGTTTGATTCTCGGTGTATGCACATGTAGGCCGTTGCCGCTGTGCTTAGTCCTGGGCCTCCCAGTGAGGGGGGGTGTCAGTAGATCTGCACTGTGGATGCCCGATTGATCCTGGAGAGGGTTACAGGCGCATTCGCGTGGGGGGTTATGGGCGCACTGACCCGCTACTTAACAAGCCCTTTTATCCCAATGGTCTAGTGGTTGGGATTCTGATATGTTGTGCCACTCGCGGGGCGCCTGACGCAGACCGTAGACTGGCCGCCGGAGACTCCACAGGGTACCCTCAGGAAATGACCTTGTAAAGCTTAGGTGGGCTGCGCAACCAAATCTCCTCGTGGAGGCTGCCCTGCAAGAAGGCGGTCGATAAGTCAAGTGAGTGCACCTCGTCGGGCAGTAACACTCGATAAGTGGTCATCTTCGCGGTGGGGGAGAAGGTCTGGAAAAAGTTGACCCCCTAACGTTGATTGACGCCTCATGCAACGTAACACGCTTGGAAATCAGCGGCCGCTTCACTATGAAAACCCACATGCCATCGACTATGTTTGCCTCAGAAGGGGGAACTACGTCGAAGTAGGTGCCTGTGGGCTTCCCGGATGCCATCTCTGCGTCCATAACTGTCATCCACTGAGAGGACCAAGGACCCGTGATCGCCTCACATAAGAGCGCGGGGTTGTGATGTTCAATGCATTTGTGTCTCTCTCAGGGGAAAGCATCATGGCAGCGAGATGAGGTACAATAGCCGCAAGGAACTCTAGCTCAAACTGCCTGTCCTCAAAGACGTCACAGCCAAGGGGAACCTCACCTCCGACGGACGAAGGACAGGTAGGGTTAGAAACCAGACTTGAGAGGTAGTCAAGGTGGCAAGCAGCAGCAAAGTCAGTGGGCTCATCGACCAAGGCAGACGCAGTAGCTGACAAAAACGTAGGGTTCGTCACAAGCGTGGCAAGAGAACATGTGACGGTCAGACTGGCGGCACGAGCAAGGTCATACACTGGGTCACGAACGTCAAGAAGAGAAGGTGGGGGAGGTAACGGCAGGACAACAGACCGTGAAACAAAGTAAGGACGAAGTGTCATGGTGTGGGTACTAGGAACAAGTGGAGGGCGAGTACGAGGGTGACGAGTACGAGCAACAGGTGAGGTAGCAGGTGATGCAAGCTCTCTACGCTCAGTCAAGGAGTCGGTCAATGGAGAGTAATGAGGAGGAACAGGTGGTAACTGTGCCTGAGACAGGTCAGGTGGCGGAGACAATAGCGGAGGAGTAGTACTAGTGGTTGCCGCTACTGCTGCAGTAGCGGCAGTTGTTTTGGGAGCAGCCGCTTCGTTGTTGCCGCTACCTGGGTCAGCACTTCACCCGCTCCTCAGTACAAACACCAGGAACGCTTCCAAGTCCAGCACCTCCAGCTCTAGTACGTCCAGCACCTCCAGCTCCAGTACCTCCAATACCTCCAGCTCCAAGAACCTCCAGCACCCCCAGGGGCAGGGCCCCCAGAGACAGCACCCCCAAAACCTCCAGTAGCAGACACAGATACTGGCAGCGATGATTGCTGCTGCTCCTAGAACAAGGGCCACCGCGGCAGTGGCTGCGGCGCACCCCGTAGAACCTCCAGCAGCGGCACCCTCGACTCCGCCAACACGAGGACCCTCAGCACCCCTTGAACCAGCACCCCTAGAGCCCACACCTACAAAGTCACCACCCCCAGCACCAGCACCCCCAGAGCCCGCACCTCTAGAGACACCACCCCCAACAGCACTGGGGTCCATAACGACAGGTTGCAAAGGAGGCAAAGACGACCGAGGCAGAAAACCAGGAGGTGTCTCCAAGCGCAATGAGTGGCGAGAGGCTGCTGTGTCGTCAGCAGCACGGTCGGGTCACCCCCCTCAACCGGGCTAGAGGGGTATGAGGAGACCTCCAAAGGCAGAAACGAGAGGAGTGGGGTAACCTAAGATACACCGGAAGGAGCAGGACGAGGGGGGGAAGGGAGGTGGGTCTAACTAGGGGGGACTGGAACCAGGAAAAGGGACGAGGGGGGGGGGAGGGCACGGGGGAATTGCGGTGGGGGTAAAGACGGTAGTAGCAAACCGACTCGTCAAAGGTGACTTTGTGGGAGGACAAGAGGCGGCGAGTGGCTGGGTGGTAAAATTGCCAGTCAAGGGCGTCGGTGGGAATGACATGGATGACGCAGCGAATAAAGTGCGGAGAGTGCTTGCCCGCAGTAGGATCGCGGACAAGGGCAAGCGAACGCCCCGAAATGGAGACGCATCGTGAACCTCCCCCGTCAAGAGGAGGGTAGGTGAGGTCTCTGGCTGTGAGACATGGAGCCAGAGGTTGAGCTAAAGCGCGGCGTATCGGACCACAAATGGCTAAAGGAATTAGGGAGCAGCCGCATGGATCATGGAGGTGAGCAACCTCCATGATCAAGCCAATGTGGCACTCACTGATCTCATTCTGCTATGGAGAGTCTGGAAGCGTGAATGAGTGGGTGATGTCTTCCTCGCGACAAAAGTTCTCAAGGGGACCAAAGGCAAACTCGCCACCACGGTCAGAGTGCAGACGGAGCACTGGGAGGTCCTGCTGGAAACGTGCGCTAAGCTGGGGGCGAGCAGTGCGGATCTAGGGGATCAGGATAGAACGAACGTCACCCTTATGCTCTAAGGGAAACACCGTGGTGTAGCGCGTGAAGTCGTCGACGACCAAAGGAAAGTAGTGCTTTCAGTGTGACCCAACGACAAGGGTCGGGCCCCACTCGTCCATGTGCAGCATCTGCAGAGAAGCAGTGGTCGGATGAAACAAGGAGGAGCGAAGAGCGGCGCTCTGCTGCCCCTCAACGCAGGGAGTGCATGGCAGTGCAACTATCAACAGGAGCGAGAGGCAGGGGCTACAGGAGTTCAGAGACAAGGTGACGCGAGTGTATGCGACGGAGACGCTGAAGGGAGGGGTGACCAAGACGGTGGTGCCAGAGGAGGGTCTGGTGCGTGAGCAACCGACAGGAGCAAGACGCGGCTACCTAACCTGATGCAGCCACCTTGGGGGATTGAGTGTGCAGTCTGAACAGTCTAGACCCAGGCCTTCGTGCAAACGTGGCTAGGTGAGCTCCAGTTGCTGTGTCCGTACAGATCGCAACTTGCTCGCCTCCAGGAATCGTGGTGGTCATGAGAAGATCCTAGAGGTGGCCTGCATTCACCAAGTTCACAGCGAACGAGGGGAGGTGCAGGCCTATGAGAGAGCCAGAGGAAAATGCCGGACACGGTAGAATAGTCGAGTTGCGAGCAACGACACGATCGGAGGTGGGGTCGGCCAGAGTGACAGGAAGAGGAGCGGTGTGATGGTGGTGCTGTCGCGGAAAAAGCACCGAGTCGCACCAGAGTCCAGCGTGAACGTGAGCGAAGCCTCTGCAGGAACTGCACCTGTGCTAGCAGGCTCACCAGCTCCTACACGAGTAGTCTCTACACTACCAGATCTAGGTACACAAGAATAATAGTCACCCTCGGCACTAGCACCAGTAGCATAAATGGCATACATACCTACAAAAATCTTGTCCCAATCAAGCGAAAAGATATCTATGCCCCTCTTGAGCAAACCTAACCAGTCAGGGATCATGGCCTGCTCACCAAACTCCACGCGGAAAGCATTCTCGAGGCGGTAGAAACAGCGAGCCTCACCGTGCCACAGCTTGCCATAGACGTCGCCGGCCCGCGGGCCAGTGCGACGCAGGTACGGGCAAGGACCTGTCGCAGGACCACCACCTCCAGGGGAGCTTCAATG